TCAGCCTAGATCCGCGGCCATTTATATATATTATATAAATAATTTATATATTTATAAATATTTAAATTTAAATTTATAAATATTTATAAAGCCATTTATAGCTGCATGCTATAGATCACTGAGATGAATAATAATGGAAGGCTTCAATTACAGTATATTGGTTGTTAAATGTTTGTTAATTTCATGCCTAGGTTTTATTTAGTATCTGCCTTCCAGAAAATGAAAGGAAAAAAAAGGGGAGGGGCTGCTAATAGACTAGGCACTTGCGAACAGGGAAAAGCTGACTTATTAAAAGCTGAATTATTAAATAATGGAATAATGGGTGAAAGTAGAATTCCATTATCTTGGAATAATGATAAAGATAAAAAAGATGGTCAAGAAAGGAGTAGTAAAAATGCCAAAAATGGTTTCGAAAGGTTATCTATTCAGAGCAAGTAGAAACATAATGGTAAATACAGCAGCACTGACTCTTCAGCTCCTCATGACCAGTTCATGAGGTCACTTCCTTGTGCCTTTCTTCCCAGGCATGTTAGCACAGAGCACATGCTCCTGGACTACTTCATCCTGTAGAATGAAGCTAGCTAGATGCTAAGTTTTGCCTATCCCTACAAATGTTGTTCTTGTAAATAAATCTTCTTTCCCTGATAAAACCTGTTTCACTAATCTTTGCTTAGGTTAATTTCCACTCTCAGAAATGCTCACAAGCCCATACAGAATACTTTAGCTCCAACAGTATTATGTCTCCACTGATTGCAGTAAATGCACAAGGAGATTTCATAAAGAGAAGGAATAAAAGTCTCCTGAACAGCTAAAGAAAACATTAGGGAAAAAAACAGATTTTTTTTACAATTGGAGACAAGAAAGTTTCAATCCATGGAGAAACTGGAAGGACCAGAATTCTATCTTGGTCATTCAGGATGAAAATGCTTCTGAAGACTCAAAGAACTGCCTTTCTTTTCAAAAAAAGAAATTGACAAAACCAGGACAGACGCAAGCAACTTGCATTGCTGCAAGTGACAGAGCCCTTGGGATAATCTGCCTGATGGTGAGTGACTGCCTTATTGTGCATTTAAGGGATTTAGATCAAAACAAAGACATCTGGAAAATCTTACATGAGAAAAGATCCAGTCTCTAAAATGCTTTTTTTTCAGAACGCTATGCAACACGCATCTGGAGGAGGATGGAAGTCTAAATCCACATATAAATCAAATAAAAGATGTTGCAAGTGAATTTGAGCAGCTAAACTTTAGTGGAAGAAACACTACTTGCCTTCATTCTTTGCCTAGAAGTTACCAAGCTGTGGTACACACCATAGAAATGAAAGAGGAAGAAGATATACATTTTGTGCTAAATTACTTACAAGGCTATAATCAGCCTAACTTAAAACGCAAGATGCAGTTGTTAAAAATCTGTTTGACCAGGAGAAAAGAAAGGAAATGTTTCCTTTGTAGTAGTACAGATCATTACAAAGAAATTGTCCTAGGAAAGAGAGACAAGACAAACCTTTTAGACTGCATTTCACAGGGGGTGATTCACTTCAGGCAAGTATAAGAAAAGGCCAGAAAGGAAATAGAGCAATGAATGTGAGAACAAATGAGCCACCAAATGGCATGTATTTTGATTCTGGCACAACTTCTAATCTTATCAAAGAGAATGGTTTGTTGAATTGAATGAATATAAATTTACTATTTACTTGGCAAATGGGTAAAAAAAATCACCTCAACCAGAAGAGATTCTGTTCTGCATTAGGCAAAGGCAAATTGCTCAACAATCACAGTTGCCTTATAAGTTCCAAATCTGGAATCAAGTCTACTCCCAGTAAAATATATCACAGAGAGAGGATGTGATGCAAGATTGGAAGGCATTCACTGTGAAAGATACCCTCCAGAAGAATGGACTATTTGAATTAAACTGTGCAGAAGATAAAGCAGGAAGAAATTGCAACCACAAAATTGTAAGCAAATGTTACGGGAGAATAGGACAAGAGACTAGATGCTATTGGAAAATTAGAAAGCTTAGCCAAAGGTGTAAAGTTGCAGCCATGTGTGAATCCAGGTGTGCAGCCCAAACACACTTATGTGAAAAGAAAAAGAGACATTAGAATTTGTTCACAACAACATTTGTAAGCCAGTGAATATCACCAAATTGTGTGGAAACAAATATTTCGTAACTTTCATTTTATATAAGATTTACTTTTTCCTTCTTGCTCAGTGAAAAAAGTCAAGTGTTGAAGACATTTAAAGACTAAGGAGGTTAGTAAGCAATAAATTTGAGGGAAAGCCTTGGCCTCTGTACATAGACAATGGGGTTTAAAGTATATGCATATATGCCAAGAGAAGAGAGAAGCCAGCTAAACTGCAGATGTGAGGAAGAAGTAAAGGTTAGATACACATACACTCCAAGGGATCCTGCCACAAAAACCATTAAAGTACGCAACATTGCTTATTATCCGATTCTGTTCCCCGTATTCAGACTCCAGGTACAGCCAGAAGAGGAAACTAATCAAAAGGGTTCCACCACAAAAGCTATTCTACATTACCACTAGAGAGCAAATGGAAGAACTCCCCACAGAAAAGAACATTAAAGGATGACAGCTACTGAAGAAGACAAATAAGGAAAGAATGCAGAAGAAACTCAAGCATATGGACAACATGTATCACTATATGCAATAAGAGGAACTCATTGAACTGAAGTACTGCCCATCAGAAGGCACACAAGCAAAGAGCACATACTCTGAGATTCTCCTACTGGTGGGATGCAGCTACCTAGATGCTAGGCTTTGCCTATCCCTATAATGTATTCCTGTAAATAAATCTCCTTACTGTTATAGTAATAAAATCTATTGCAGTTATTCTTGCATTGGTTGGATTCCCACTGTCAGGAATGCTTACATGCACACAAAGAATACTTGTACTTCTGATGTCTTGGAGGAGAATATGGAGGGAAGAATAGTAATGGAACACCTAATTCATAGATTTGAAAAATGTTAAAGGGCTGTCACATCACATCCTAGGGAACTAAACAACTTAATAAATTTGCTGCCTCTGTCTATTAAGATTTGCAATTTCTTGGGGACAAGTTATGTATTGCAAGACTGGGAATGGGGAAATATCCCCATCTTCTAAAAGGAGAAAATAAAGAATCCAAGCTATTAACACCAGCCAGCTTGACACTGGTCAACTAGAAAGATAATAAAAAACTAACATTTCTGTATAAAAGAATTATTACAGTAATGAGGATGATAATATACCTGGATTTCATGAAGACTTTTAACAAGATAATGTATGATATTATTGTTAGCAAAATAGTAAAATATATCACAGAATTTTGATGTGAAGTTCTCTAAAATTGTATATAATCACAATGCTGCTATACTCCAGGACCCTTATCAACTTTAAAATTACAAAGAAATTAAGCCTCCATTTTAGAATTCCTTGATACCAGCTTCTATTTATTTTACAGGATTCAACATGTTTAAAGTTTGTCTAAAAAATTATTCTGGTCAATCCTGGGAAGTAGGAACAGGCATTCTGGGCATACATGGGAACAGACAACATGTGATCCCTCGTATCATGAATGGATTAATGTTTTTTATAACCTATAAATTTAACATTCCTGAATTTAAATAAATAATTATCTCTGTTCTGGTACCATGTCATTATTTTAAGGCTATTCAAACACTACTACATTTGAATCATTTTTTTTTTCAAAAATGTATCTTCACAACGATAACTATATATTTAAATATTTTATTTATACTTATTTATATATTTTATCTCTTGGAACTTTTGAAACTATATTAGATCTCTAGAAATGCAGCATGAATAAAATCTACCAAGGATTGGCCTCTTTCTTTACTGATCTTAACTGATTAACTGATTGAACACTTTTAAATCTAAAAGTGATTCCTTTTTTCTTTCTTTCTTTTTTGACAGTCTGGAAAATTCTCCAGTAGCTCTCCTACACCTCACAACCAATTGCAAGGGCTGCAGAATGCTGAAGATGCTGTAGAACATGAGAACATGAAAGCGGTCCTGAAGACTTCATCTCTAACTGGAGAGAACACCGTGTTAGGAATACGGACTCGATGCAGGGCCAATCGAGGTGAATAGTTTGGATTTATATGAGGAGTGGTGATTCACTCTGTTTTTTAATTATTATTATTATTACATATATATTGAGTGATGAATGTAGCTGAGATGCAGATTTATAGAAGGCCACTGCCAGTTCCAGTAATTCTGGCTAAATTAAGACACAATGCACATGAGTACAATATACATAATCAGATTGTTCTGCAGAGTATGGGTATGTGTATTTATATTCAACACAGTTGAAATATAAATAAATATTTAATATATTATGAGCAGATGTTCTTAACCTGGGGTCCACAGATTTCAGGTTTTTCATGAAGTTGGATGAGGACAAAATTACAACTTTATTTATACTATTTTATTTTATGCATTTAAATACATTTTCCTGTAAAGGAGTTTCTCCAGAAACCTCGAAGAGGTCTATGGCACAAAAAGGTTAATAAAACCTGATTATGAGAGAGATTTTCAAGAGTACATATCAAATTATGGCTTATAAGCAAAATTTATCTGGAATATTTTATATGGGGCAGGTAAACCCAGAATAACTGATGCTTCTGAAGTTAAGAATACAATATTGTTGTTTCTCCTATAAGTTGAACTAGAGGCCTTTGTGTGTCTGAGGACAAAGATAGATGTGCACACAGACAGTTAAGATGTATGACAAGAGAACCCAACCTTTGATTTCCCCATTTCTGGGATAGGGCAAAATTATTCTGTCAAGGTATCTGTTTGGTAGTGGTGTTTCTGGCAAACCCAAAAGTAATGTATTTTATTCACTGATTTTTATGGGGCTCTGTAAATACTTAAAAGGCTATTGAACAAGTTAAATCCTTTAAATATTTGGGCATGGTTTTTCATAGCTCCACTAAACGCAGTGTGCACCAAAGCTACATTATCCAAAACACTCAAAGAACAGTAGCTGCAATCCAATCCTTTTACTTTACCAGAGGAGCACAGTGTATCCCAGCAGCACTGAAGCTATACTCAGCTAAGGCTCGCATACAATTACTCTTCGATGCCCAGCTAGGACCCTATCCTTCTTTTACACCTCTGGAAAGGGTTCAATCCAAATCCTTAAGGGCCATATTTCAGGTAGCCCCTTGTATCCCAAATGTAGCACTAAGGAGGGAAGCAGGGTTGTCCAAAGTCAAAACAGGTGCATGGATTTGTATTATAGCACGTTGGTTGAAACTACTGTTTTTCCCTACAGGTTTGGGTTCTTTCCTTATTAAAGATAATTATAAATCAGTATGGTTCAGGACTATCTTCCAAAAACTTCAATATCTTGGCTTCTCTAGTGAGGCATTTCTAATAGTGGGCTACGAGCATGCACTTGGTGAATTCAAACAGCATATCAAAGATCTGGAAACTCAGCAGGATCAGTCTGCTCTGTCTAAGAACGTTTTTTTGAGCAGTAAAGCCTTTTCTTATAAGCCAGCAAGATACCTAAATTACATCACTGTCCCCAAATTTCGGAGGGCACAGAGTTAGCATGTTGTAATGCTCTCCCTACAGCAGTTTTGGAGGGCCGATACAAAAAAGTCCCATATGAACTGAGATTGTGCCCCTGTGGACAAGGG